ACATTGAACTCCTGTTTGGATATTATCCTTTCCTCACGTCTACCAGACACATCATTAGTGTTGATTATCTATATGCACTATGTCACCTTGAACTTTTATGTAAAATCATTTTTATTCATTTGTATATTAGCGCTGCACCTTAAATACACCTCCTGCAATCAGCCTCAGGTGATGGCTTGATTGCAGGAGTGAGATCCTGGCTGCTGAAAGCACCCACTGGCAAGCACTGGTACTGCAGCCCACACAGCAGGTGAGCCCCCAGCACCACCACGGTGAGTCCTTTCCTGTGAGAGGTTGTGCTGGACTTTGCTCTGCTGAGCTCCAGAAAGGCCCGAGAAGCCTGGGGCTAAAGTGCCCTGCTCATGCCCAGGGAGGATGGCGGATCCTGGCCTTGGGTCCAGCGTTGATATGAACCTGGAGGGGCCTAGTACCGGTGCCGAATTTCCAGCCATAGAGGACCTGGGAACAGTCCCAGGGAAGGGGGAGGATTACAGCACTTACTGTGACTGGGTGGCGACCCATGTCAGGATGATGGAGAAGGAGGAAACAAAGTTGGGGAAATGGAGTCTGGAGCTCAAAAAGCTCCGTCAATCATATGACAGAGCCTGGAGCTCAAAACGTCCGTCGATGAAGCCGGGCCCGGAGGCATTGGAAAAGCAGGTGGCCCTCCAAAGCAAGTAAGTGGCAGCCCTGAAAAAGAAAAGTGGAGTGCTGAGGGAGAGGTATCAGAACGAGACCCGCTTCAAGGCCGCAAGGAGCAGAGCGTGGCTGCGGCAAGGGGCCCGGTGGAGGAAGTCTCCTCTATGGAGGAGCTATCATACGTCTCAGCAGTGAAGGAAGTTGAGCTGGTGCAGGGGCAGGCTGGGTCTGCTGCATCCTCTCAGCAAATGGCGGATCTGTTAAGACGCCACTGACGCGGGAGTCTCGGACTCCCTCCCCCCGGGTCAGCTGTCCACTGATTGGGGAACTCTGATGGAGGAGGCGGAGTCAGCTGGAGCGCTGAGCTTCTCGGCGGAAGTGGAGCCAGGGTTACATGCGGATCGCTTCCAGTTTACGTCAGATGACTCAGAAGGGGAAGTGGATTACATAGTGCCGCGCAAACCGGCGAAGCCGGTCCTGAAGGAGTGGGCGGCTTACATCAAACTGGAGCGCATTTCCAGCTCGGTGGAACTTGGACTGCTGGCAAAGGCGAGTGAGCTACTGACCGGGGCTCTGTGCGGGACTCTGCCAGATCTGGTGGCGCACCTAAGGACTCAGGGTGATTGGTAAAGTATGTGCAGGCGTGTCTGGGGCGCTGGCCCCTTCTGCAGGCCAGGGGGCGTGTCCCAGTCTCCGCGGCCCCTCCGGCCCAGGTCCCATGTGGTCCCACCCCTTTGGGAGCTGAAGTGGTTCCTGGTGTGTCGCCTATCCCCCCAGGTCCCCTTGCTGGTGTTCCTGTTTCCCCATGTCAGGCCCCGGCGGGCCCCCCCCTGTAAATGCGGGTCCTCAAAGCCCGTCTGGTCCTGTTATACCTGGGTCTATCCCCCCAGGTCCTGCCGCCCCAGGTGCGGCCCCCCCAGTTCCAGGTGCCTCTGTGGTGGGCACCCCAGTGGTCCAGCCCGCCTTGAGCTACTCGGCGGCTGTGAGAGGTGGCCAAGGCCAGATTAGGCCTCCCCAAGCACGGACTGGGAATCTTCCAACCTCTGCGGTATGGAAGAATGTAGTCCAACTAAAGGGGACCGGGTTGAGCCCCCCTCTAAGCCGAAGGGAGGTCATAGATAGGGTCCTGGAAATGAGATTTCAGGCTACTGACATCTATGCCTTCATTGCTCCTGTGGTATGGGAGAATATGATGTGTCCTTTATGAGACGGGCACTGCTGGATCTCTTCTGGCAGAGGTTTGAGGAAATATACATTCATAGCCCCAATTGGGTCGGCCTTACCCCCGAAGCTCATCTCCCAGCAGAACGTGATCAAGAAGGTCACGATACTGGTTAGGAATGAGTCTGTTCCGGCCTCTGATATTGTGGTTTGGCTGGGGAGGTATGGGGTTGTTTTGGGGCCCCTATCCAAAATTTTGGACAATAGGAAGATTTGGACGGGTGGGTGGATGGCTACGGTACGGTTGCAAGTAGTGGGCAATGTGCTGCAGCACTTCCCCTCCTCTGCCTTTCTTGGAAGGGACCGGCTCATTATTTTTTATGCTGGTCAGCCGCAGGTGTGCCACCGCTGTGGGGGCACTTTGCAGCTACATGTCAGGTCATACGGTGCTCCTTGTGTCAGGAGATCGGCCATTTGGCCAGAGACTGCAATATTGTACGTTGCAATCTTTGTGGTACTCTCTGCATCCTTATAGTCAGTGCCCAGAGGCCCTTCGTAATTTGCCAGATGAGGAGATAGCGTCGGAGCTAGATAGGATAGATGCCGAGGAGGCGGCAATAACGGCAGAAAAGGCCAGTTTGTCCTCTGTGGCAGCCTCAATAGAGGTGGGGGAGGTTTCTGCTGCCTCTACTGTATCTGTCTCCTCTGCTGAGCCTACTATGGTCCAGTCCCCCTGTGGTCCCTCCTGCTGTTCCTGTCCTTCCTCCCAGGAAAAAGTTGAAATTGGGGGAAGCTGCCAATGGGGCGGGGTGGTGGGAGTTAGGCCCGGGCCTTCTGTGCCCGTTCCCCCGGTTCTCCTTCCCTTACGTCGGGGTAAGGTCCCTGAGGAGAGCTCCCGAGGAGTCCAGGGTCCGCCCTGGGTGGGTCGGATGGGGTGCAGGAGGAGGGAGGGTGGTCAGTTGTAGGAAAGCGGAACAAGCCTGTTCTTTCCGCTGCTGGGTCGGTCTCCTCCCTGGAGGTGGAGGACCTGGCCCTGGAAAAATAGTTTGGGGCTCTATCGTGTGAGGAGGGAGGAGACTCTGGTGACCCAACTTCTCTGATGGAGGATGAGGAAGGGTCTTTAAAAAGGTCTAGGGACCCTGTTAAGAAGTCCAGGAAAAAGGTTAAGAAACGCCTCTCTCAATTACCTTGAATGGCAGTTCCGATAAAGGTGGCAACGATTAATGTTGCCAGCCTGAGGTCTGCAGGTGCTAGAGAAACAGCTTTATTTTTGATCAGTGGTATGGATGCTGATATTTTGTTTTTGCAGGAGACCAGGTTGTCTAGCTTGGCTGATATACATCTGGCCAAGCGGGAGTGGAGCAGAGGACCCTCCTACTGGTCTCTTGCGGCAGAGCCTTACAGCGGAGTTGCGGTGCTTTTTACTGGCATGATAACATGCCGGCGGGTCATTGAGGTGGAGATTGGAAGATGTTTGATCCTAGAAGTCTTTGTGAGGGGGCAGGAACTGCGCCTAATTAATATTTATGGACTGCAGTCCAAGTGGGACAGGAAATGCCTCTTCACAAACATCAAGCCTTTCCTTTTTACGTCCCGGCTGGTTGTCTTTGGAGGTGACTTTAATACCATAACTAGGCCCAAGGACAGGAGAGGCTCCAATGACAGGCTGGGATATGACAGCGTTTTTTTTGAATGCTATAGTCAGGGAAGCAGGTCTGGTGGATGCCTTGGTTAAGAGCAGCCCAGACAGCACTGGTTTCACGTTTAGGAGAGGTAATACAGTAGGATAGACAGGTTTTTTTTGAAGAAGGACTCTGCCTTCTTGGCACCCGAGTGTCGGGCGGTGGAGTTTTCTGACCACCTTATGCTTACTGTGACTTTGAATGTTTCAGACACGCCGCTGAGAGGGAAGGGCATCTGGAGGATGAATTTGTCTCTGCTGGAGGACGAGGAGGGGAGACGATCTTTCGAGGAGTTCTTTCAGGCACAGGAGACTGTGCTGGATTTTTGCAACAGTAAGTCGAAGTGGTGGGAGCTTAATAAGCTGCGGATTGGCAGGTTTTTCAAGGCCATAGGAAAAAGAAGGCAGTTTGATAGATATACATCGCCTATCAATGGTTGCGGAAGAGGCTCGATCGCCTTGTCTCTAGCGGTGGAGATTTTGGGGCAATCTCAGAGGTCAAGCTGGAGAGGGATTATGGGAAATACCACTCGCCTGACCCTTTCCAGAACTGCAAACAAGATGCAGCGATTAAGACGGTCTCTGCCCTGAGGGATAGTACAGGGTCCCTGACGAGATCCAGGTCAGGGATTCTGGAGGTCTCTAGGTCCTTTTTTGAGGACTTACTGAGTGAGAAGTGCCTCGACCGGAAAAGGATGTCAAGCTTTTTGGAATCTACACCGGGTCTGGATGGTAACGTCCGGGCGGCAAGTTTGACAGGGGAAATTACAGCAGAAGAGGTGACCAAAGCTATTGACAGTCTGGCCATCAAGAAGACTCCCGGACCAGACGGTTTGACAGCTGAGTTTTTTAAGGCTTTTAAGTCTAGCTTGGCGCCCCACCTTGCGGAGGTCTATAATAGCTGTCTGGATGAGGGGTCCCTCCCTCCATGAAGCAGTCTGTTGTAATACTCTTGTCAAAAGGTAAGGATCCATCGGCTATTGAGAATTGGCGCCCTATTAGCCTTCTCAATGTCGATAGAACGATTCTGGCTAAGATCTTGTTCTGGCGCTTGTCGTCAGTCGCAGACAGTCTGCTTTTACGGCCGCAGCATTGCTCGGTCCAGGGCAGGAGTACCTTTACAGCGGTGTTAGCTGTCTGGGAGGCTCTGGAGCGGTGTAAGGCTGAGGGCTGGGGGAAGTATTTGCTGGCAGTGGACCAGGCAAAGGCCTTTGATCGGGTCAATCATGAGTACCTCTGGCACCTCCTGGACCGGTACGGCCTAGAGGGGAGGTTCATTGGCTGGCTTAAGACGTTGTATAGAGGGGCTGAAAGTTTCATGTTGGTGAATGGGCTGGTTGGGCAGCCTTTGGGGTTGGATCCGGGGTGCACCAGGGGTCCCCACAGGCCCTTGCTCTATGCTTTCGCCATCGATCCCTTCGTCAGGAGGTTAGATGGTGGGGCGTTGGGCAGGGTGCCGGTGGGTGCCCCTGGGGGTCCGTCCCTGAGGGTCGTTGCCTACGCTGATGACGTTTCTGTTTTCATCTCTGGGATGGGGGAGGCGCAGGAGGTAGTCTCAGTGATGGACCAGTATTCCGAGGCATCTGGTTCCAAGGTCAACCAGGATAAATGTGAAATTGTCTGGATGGGTAGGGAGTGTGAGAGCTTCTTACTTCTGGACACCTTCCCGGTGTCTCAGCAGATTATAAAAATTTTAGGAATCAATTTTGGCCCTGCTGATTACAGCAAGTCAAATTGGGAGGATAGGTTGTCTGATGACGAGGTCAAGGTGAGGTGCTGGAAGGGGTGGCGGCTCTCCTTAAGGGAAAGGGTTGACTTAATCAAGACCTTTCTGGTTCCCACCTTTTTGTATGTCAGCTTTGTTTGTCTCTTGCCAGAGTCGCTCTATACAGGGATCTACAGCTGCTTCTTCCAGATGTTGTTGGGGAATAGGCTGAACCTTGTCAGACGAGATGTGACCTACTCATCCAGGCGGGAGGGTGGCCTAGGAATGGTCAACCTGATTGTGTTCTTTTCTCTGATGTTCTTGAAACATAATTTTGGTAATATGCTAGCAGAGAGACCACCTGCATGGGTAGGACTGTTCCAGATCTTGTTTAGGCCCTTTCTGAGCAGTTGGGAGAGTGGTGGGCCAGTGAGAAGCCTGCGGGTCAAGCACGGTAAGCTCCTGGCTTATGTGGCCCCGTGCCTGAAGTTACTCCGATGGTGGCATTTGTCGGTGGAGGTCAGGTCCCTCCCTAGGAGACTCCTGGGTAAGAGGATTGTGGCGACCTCTTTCCATGCGCCGCTGGCCTAGAAAGATTGCCCAGGCCATATCATGAGAGAGGGTTTACGCTTAATAAATTTGGATCGGATTCCCTTGAAGTTTAGAGACCAGGCCTGGCTCGCTTTCCATGACAGGCTTTACGTGAGGGGTAACCTGAGTACCGTCCTCCGGATGACCGTGGTTGTACGAGGTCGGAGTGTCGGGGTGAGGTGAAAACTATGGACCACTTCTTGCTTCAGTGCCCATTTAATGTGGAAGTGTACAAAGAGGTGGGTGGGACTCTGGGTGTCTCTTTCCTGCACTGCATGAGTTATGCAGAGTGGGTGTATGCAGCATTCAAAAGCCACCTTGGTTTTGATTTGGACACCTTTTTAGTTAGTTTAGTGGTCCGTTACTACACGTGGAATGTACGGTGTCAGGTTTCTATTCGGCAGAAAGTCCTCCCCGTCCAGATGGTGGTGAGTGGCATCCTTGGTGAGGTTGGGAAGATTCGGGGTCTTGAGAAAGACAGGTGGCGGTGAAAGGCTTGGATGGAGGCGTGGAGGAACATCAGGCCTGTAACTGCTGCCTGTTGATCTCGGGTGGTGGTATCTGTCCCTGTTTTCTCCTTTTTTCACCCCTTAGATTTTGTTGGTATGGAATCCTTTTGATGGAAGGCTGCTGACGCTGAAGGTCTAAGTTTCTTAGCCTTCTTCATGGGTAGGTATTGTTTCTGTTGTTGTTCTCTGTTTAGTTTTGGGTATGTCTAAATATGGAAGGTATCAGTTTAGGCCATAACGGCCATCAGAAGTAGTAGAATGGAAATTGACGGTTCTTTTTTTTTTTTTTTTTTGGTCTCGGGCCATAAAGGTCCTTTATGAGTATAATGCCTTAGCCTTCCAGGAAATGGACTTTTAGTCTTTAGCCATAAGAGCTATGGGTGTCCTTTGTGTTGTGTTCCTCCCAGGAAATCCTGTTTTTGTTTTGGGTAATGTTTATACATATTTATTTATTTATATATTTCCTTTTTTCTACTTCTGTATATAACTTTTGGTTTTCTGTTGTGTATGAATTTAATATAATAAAAAAATCTCCTTTCCTGACAGTACCCCCCCCCCCCCTCAGGACGCTCCAAACAGTCCTTAATGGCAAAAATGTTCCACTGCCTGTGTCAGGTAACTGGCTGGATATCCCACTGCCGGAGTCAAGCGACTGGCTGGGTTTCCTGCTGGTAGACCTATCTTTTTGCAGGAGACCGCAGGAAGGCAGGTTGCTGGACACAGGATTTCCAGAAGCAGGCTGGGAATCAGGGGTAGCATATCAGGCTGGGCAGCGAGCAGAGGCACATCAGGCTGGGCAGCGAGCAGAGGCACATCAGGCAGGGCCGCGAGCAGAGGCACATAAGGCTGGGCAGCAGGCACCGGGTCGTCAGGCTGGGCAGCAGGCACCGGGTCGTCAAGCTAGGCAGCAGGCACTGGGTCATCAGGCTGGGCAGCAGGCACCGGGTCATTAGGCTGGGCGGTTGTTATCGGTTCCTCAAGCTGGATAATGGACACTGGGGCATGAGGCTGGATAACGGACACCGGGGCATGAGGCTGGATAACGGACACCGGGGCATCCGGCTGGATAGCGGACACCGGGGCATCCGGCTGAATAATCGGCATCGGGTCATCCGGCTGGAAAGCGGGCATCGGGTCATCAGGCTGGATAATGGGCATCGGGATCATCAGGGGGCTGGCTGGGTAGCGTACACTGGGTCATCAGGCATCAGGCTGAACAGTGGGCACCGAGTCATCTGGCACAACAGCGGGCACAGGGTCATCTGGCAGGACAGCGGGCGTCAAGGCATCTGGCAGGACAGCGGGCGTCAAGGCATCTGGCAGGACAGCGGGCGTCAAGGCATCTGGCAGGACAGCGGGCGGCAAGGCATCAGGCAGGACAGCGGGCAGCAAGGCATCAGGCAGGACAGCGGGCAGCAAGGCATCGGGCTAGACAGCGGGCATCAAGGCATCAGGCTAGAGAGCAGGCGTCAGGTCATCAGGCGGGATAACAGAAGGCGGGTTCTCAGACAGCAGGCTGACCAGTTTGGATACTGGCAGGATGGTACTGGTTGGAAAGAATTTTCACTTCTTCTTGGGTTTAGTTACTGAAGAACTGCAAGTAAATGCAGGGCTGTAAACGGAGGGAGCAGCTAAAGACAGAGAAGAGCTGGAGGATGGAACAGAGAAGGGAGCAGTTTCTACAGTGAACTTCTTTACAGAGTTAAAGGCAGGGTAGGTGCAGCGAGTGGGAACAGGATACTGACATGTGGTTGATAGCAGGGTATACTGGGCTGTAACTGGGGGTGCTGTGGAAAATGGAGGAAAAGAGCTTTGAGCAGAGGAATGATTAGAAGCAGGACTGGGTTGTTGCAAGCTGACTGATGTCATGGAAATTTTGTATTTACTGGTTGAACTTTAAATGTGTCATATATTAGTGTTTATTCATATGTCTCTCGTGTGGCTTAATTAAAGCTCTGAAGGCTGCAACTGGGCCATGCGCATTTACAATGTATGTATTACAGTACTCAGCTCGGTAATGGATGAGATGGCAGATTTGCGCTTATAGACCGGCGTTTATACCACCACGGCATTCGATGCGAATGCCGCCGACGGTAGGCCCGCGGGCCTGTATCCACATATCAGCAGCATAGTACCACATGGACTTCGTGCCGCAAGGCGCCAAGCAGTGTGAACGCTGTGTGTAGGCTCATGTATATCTTACAAACCATTACCGACCTGAACTGTATCTGGATGGATGTGTTTTAATAAAGATCGTATTGGGCCCATTCAGATACAGACTGACACTGTTTAATCTAGGGGATGCTTGTACAGAGAATTTACATACCACTAGGAGCTAATAGGAGGGGGAAGGTTGCTTCCCTCAGAGAGCTCATGGAGGGGAGGGGAGGACTGGTGATAGATAATAAGAAAGGCTACGCTCCAATCGGAATGTACATCCTGTGTATAGGCACTCCCCATTGCATTGTTCTGTGGGAGGGGATTGACCTGACTCATGTGGGGGGGCGTGTGTGTGTTTGTAATAAAACCAGAGGCTGAGAATGAAAACTTCCTCTATGTGAATTCCAACAGCAACCTGAGAGTGTCGTGTTATCATTCCTAGGTAACTGGAGCTCCATTTCCCCACAATTCTGAGATAGCTAACCCAGTTGGAGGCGCAGGAATCGTGGAGCTAAGCTGTAGTCGTGGTAAGCGAGATTCCCACAGCTCTATGGGGGATTGCTGCGCATCTAACTGCGAGTACTCACGGTAAGAAGAAATTAGTTAAAAGCGAATTTCCAAGACAATTTGGCGAGCCAGTGGATACTAACGCAAATTCTGGGATAGCTAACCAAGTTCGAGGGGGGAATGAGCCATCATGAACTAGCAAAAAGTATGCTGGCACATTTCAGGTCTCTCTGCCATTAAGAGGATCGCTTTTTGCGCGTTCGTGTGGCTGATTTCGCTCTCTGTTAGCTAACGTGAATTCCGCTTAGCAAGGACCTTTGTCCTAAAATCTTGATTTGTGGGTGAAAGACGAGGGTTTTTTCTCTGCTGAGAGCAGCAGAGGGGTGGGTTTGGTTGGCTGGATTTGGTCAAGTTTAAAAATCTTTCAACCAAAAATTAAACGGGTATATGTTTTTAGCAGGTAAAAGTTGTTGCATAGTTTAGGTAAGTATTTACGGGTTGTAGGTACTGTGGTAATTGCTCTCCCTCCCTCCACGTGAGGTAATTATTACAGTGCTGAAAAGTTTAGGTTAATCGTTAACTGTTGTAAGATCTTTGTGTGTATATAGTCTGTGCAGTGTTTTGTCGGTACTACTGCTCCCAGCAAGCATGCAGCAGTGGGTCCTTTCTGTTACATGCGCATGTTAATGTGATATGTTGGTTTTTCTATGTCTGTTCTGTGATTGTGCCAAATTGTGTTGTATGTGTACTGTATATTGTTGTGTAATTATCCAGTGTATGTTTTGTCCAAAAGTCTGTTTTATGTAAGAGGTTAGAGGCAATTTTGAGGCTAGTGTATGCCATGTGCTTTCTCTGGTGGTGGCCATTCTAGTGTCTGCCATGTGCTTTCTCTGATGGTGGCCATTTTACTGACTGTCATGTGCTTTCTCTGGTGGCCATTTTGTTGACTACCACATGTGCAGTGATCTCTATGCAATGTGTATGTAGTTTTCTATATGCATTTGACCCATTTTGTGTTTTTTAATCCAAATTTTTACAGTTTAAGTTGTTTGCTTTTAGCTTTAAATTTGCGTATTGCCAGCCAATTTAAAGTGTGTCAAGCGAGTTTTTCCCTCACGTGTTCCACATTTAGTAAGCGCAGTGAAGTCTGGGTTTTTGCACATAGATTTCTTGTATAGTGATTATGTTTTTCTTGTGTTTTTCTTGTTAAAAGTAGTTCCTTATTGTAAAGCGGGTTTGTTTTAAAGTTGCTGTGTTGCATGTTTCACGTCCAGCAGACTTTTTGTGTAAACGGTTTTAGGTGGTTGCACCGAAGATCGCGTGTGTAATGCGGATCGTTTAGCGGCGCTGGTAGGAGTGATTTTCGCGTTAGCAACAGGGGTTATTCTTGGAGCAGTTTTTCGGTTCACCTCTGTGTAATTGTTTTACTGCGAAACGTCCCGTGTTTTCCATAAGGCTCCATTTTGTCCTTTTTAACGGTTTTTCAAGTTGAAAAGGGGTTTTTCTGTGTGTATTAGAGAAGTTTTTTTCTTTACACAATCTTTCCTAAAGGTCAGTTAGCAGGTTTCCGGGCAACCAGTGACCCCTAAAGTAACATCCAAGAACCCCTCCTTTTGGTTTGACTTGTCTTAGCTACTGTGTGCAGGGAGAGAAAAGCCACTTTCATCATTGTGCGGTGTGGCCTGCC